GGGTGGGGTGGGTTGGGTTTGCGGTGCATGATCGTGGTCACGATCGGCTCCAGGGCAGCCGATCGTCACGCTTGACCACAACTGGCAGCTCAGGCCTGCGGGCGGCCACCCAACAGTGCGAATCCTTCCTCGGCTGGGCCCGTGGCTTGCTTGCAAATCCACGCACCACGGTGCCCGTTGAACCTCGTACTGTGCCGCCACCCCGCACCCCGGCCCGGTCGTGATGAAAATCATGGCTTGCAATAGCCCGCCAACCCCACACCCCTCAATTCCCCGCACAGCGCGCTGATGTGGCGCCCCCCGCCGCGCCCCACCTTGACGTGGTGGATGCCCAGACGCTCCAGGATGGAGGGCGGGAACACGCGGCTCGCAAAAGCGCGTCGGAAGATGGACTCGAACTGCGCGTCCAGGCCGCCGATGCCGAGGGACTCGAAGGACAGGGTGCGGCTCTTGAACAGCTGGTTGGTGGCGAAGCCCTTCTGGCCCGTGATCTTGATGGGGGCCTGGCCTGGGGGGCGCGAGGGGAGTGCGCGGCGGCAAAGGGTCGGTTTTGGGTGGGTGAGGCTTCGAAAGGATGGGGGGCATTGGAGGCTGGAAGCTGACTGGGGGGGGGGGGGAGGTCACCGTCTGTCATCACTATGGGCCTCCGCCCCACACGCGCGTGCAGCCGCGCCCCCTCCTGCACAAGCCAAGCACCGCACAGCGCGCGTTGCGCATGCGCGCGCTCGTGCACTCGCGCCCCGCCCTGGCCCCGGGCCCCGCCCACCCGAGTTTGTGAAGATGAAGGCGGTGCTGTCCCTGAGGAAGCCGCGCTGCACGTCCCTGTTCTCCCCGCTGGCGTCCGACACTAGGAGGGAGCCCACCACGACGCGCAGGTTGAGGCCCTGCAGCTCAAAAACCACCTGCTGGTTCACGCTCAGGACCTGCGCAAAAAAGGGGGGTGTTCGTTGGTGGGATACTTGGTTTTGCTTGCTTGTGTGTTTTTGCTTCTTCACTTGTGTGTGTGTGTGTGTTTGCGTGTGTGTGTGTGTGTGTGTGTGTTTGCGTGTGTGTGTGTGTGTGTGACTTGTATCATGGACGTTGACTGACAAAGAAGCTCTCTGAAACTTCTCTCGCGTGAAGAGAGCCGCCATCAATTTTGGACTTGCAACTGCCTGGTACTGCTGCTCGGACGTTGCGGAAACAGACCACTCGCAGCATCCTCTCGCATGTGGTCCCGTCCGCTCTTCCCCTGCCATACCGATTTCCGGGGCTCACCGAGGTCCCCCATACTCAGCATGCTCCGCAGGCCCCATCAGCCCCGCAGGCTCAAGAGGCAAGGCCCACCTGCCCAGCAAAGTCCTTGAGCAGCCTGTCGATGATGTCATTCGCCGACAGCTCGCGCTGGGCTACCTGTGCGGAGGCAGCACGGCCAAGGACGATGAAAGTCTGTGGCGGCCGCGCCTTTGGCCGCGCGTCTCTGTCATCCCTGCCGCTGCCGCTGCCAGGGTAGTGGCTCGGTGTGACCCACAGCTAGGTTGTCATTTCTCTCAACGTCCCACTGCCTTTGCCTGTAGCGGTGGCTGCTGCTGCTATTGCACTCAGCAATCTGGCGCTGCCACGCATCATCACCCCGCACCCCACACGGCCGCCTGCCTGCCGACGCGGCGCTTGGCCTGAGCGTCATCCGCTCCTTTTGCGGCCTGTCCCCCACGAGCCCGCTCCCAACCAACACGCGCCTTGTCTGTCACGTAAGCGATCTCCCCATAGAGCAGGTTGGCAGTGGGCACAGAGGGCGGCGGCGCATAGGCGCGCACGTCGGCCGCGTCACGCACTGACACCTTGAGGATCTGCGATAGCGGAATCGAGCAGCGCATTGCGGTTTGCTGCTACAACTGCTCGCTGCGACCAAGCCGTGGCTCCATAGACGCTGCGCGGCCGCTTCCATGCAGTTGGAAGGGCGGCAACGCAGCCCCAGCTGCCCAGCTGCTGCCCCTCCTGCTGCAGGAAGGATGTGGGTGGCCGAGCTGCCGCCACGAGTGAGCTCTCACCCGCCGCTGGATGCTGTTCAGCGCCACCGAGCCGTGAGGCACTGTGGGGTGGCCCGCCACATTGAACACACTGCGTTGCAGAAGCAGGTGTGCATGCGAGCGGGCCGCATGCTTCAAGGTGGATTGTCAAAGCACGCCAGGACAACGCGATTGCTGGACAGCATGTCAGGAGCTGGAGCACTAGGACATGCCCAGCCCACTGCTGCGCCTTACCAATATGATCATGGAGCCGGCGCTTGCACAAAATGCAAGCGCTGCCGCTTGCGCAAGGCACGGCGCGAGGCACGGCGCAGTAGTCGCAGCGCGAGCACCAGCTCAAACACTGCCGCCCTGCCACTCACAAGGCGCCGATCTCCACAAACTGGCTGCGAGCCAAGGGGTCCAGCTCCGAGACGTATACATAGTTGGTTGTGGCGCTGGCCTGCGGATGACAGGTGTTCGGTTGCCCTGGCCCTGCACCAGACCGCTCAAATACACTCCAGCTGCTCCTACATATAAATTACGCATAGTCACCTTGTCTGGGCAGTTGTCTACCGTCCTGGTGGTCGCCATTCCTCAGATCGACGCCACCGAGTCAAGGCAATCCACCCAATCCAGAGTCTGGGCTGCCTGTTGAATCAAAACGGTTGCTTACGAATATGTTATGTCGGCCGAATCAAACCTAAGTTGCTCTAGCACATCAGCACGCACCCTCATCACTCGCTGCACCACCCGCGTGCAGTATGCACTACCCGTCTGGCTCGGTGATGCAGCGAGCCCATTGGTGGTGAAATATTAGTCTAATCAACTATTTTGCAGGCTCAGGCTTCCATGAGGCCCCATCACTAGATGCATTGGCTGTATGGGCCAGCGTGCAGCACTCCAGCCCACAGCACCGCTTTCAGACTGCAACGAAGATGTACAGTTAGCCATATAGCTCTTTATCAGGGCCAGTGGGGCTGGCGCAGGTCGCGCTGCGCGCCCGCTGCTGCGTGCTATGTGAGGACGGCGGACCCCACCAGTCCCCTGGTCAGCTCAGGCGCGTACTGCGACCTCGATTCGTCCACAACTTTAGACGCAACGCACGCACAGCCGTACGCCAACGGCCACCAGGGGCGGCGCAGCCAGGCGGCCAGCGGCGCTCCAGCCTCGCTTGTCGATGAGGCGCCCGCCACGCCCGTGGTCGCGGCGCTGTCGCGGCGTGAGCGAGCGGCTGCTCTTATGGCAGCGATCAAAGGGGCTGCCCGTCAGGGCCCAGCGGTGCTGGCAGATTGCATCCGCATTCGCGGCTCCCAGATGGATGGCCACGCTGTCACCGCGGCTGTTACCCGGGCGGCGCGGTTTGTGGCGCGCCCACACGGCGCCGTCTCCGTGGGCGGCAATGTCGGCAGCAGCAGCAGCAGCAGCAGCAGCAGCAGCAGCAGCAGCAGCAGCAGGAGCTGTCGCTGTAGCAGCAGTAACACCTACGGCAGCAGTGCCGTAGGCAGTGGCAGAGGCAGCAGCAGCGGCGCCACCCGCGGCGCTGCCCCAACAGACGCCAGCGCAGACATCGCTGGCATGGAGGTCCTGAGGGCCGAGGTGGCGTCGTTGCTGCGCTCACGTGGGGCGCTGCTGGACGGTTTCGGGCTGGCGTACTGCTTGTGGGCCATGGCGCGGCTGGGCCTGCAGGGGCAGCAACAGCTGGTCGCCGAAATGGTGAGCCTGCGGTGCCTGCTGGCCGTGGGTGCTGGCATCAGAGTGCTGCGGGCTGCACACAGGTATCACACATGCGTTATCATCACCGCATGCGCCAGCGGCCCTGCTGCGAGGAGGCGCTGGCAGCGCTACGTCCTGCAAATGCCATCTCTTGATAACATGCGCCCCAAATCAATCAACCAGGTGGCTGCTGTAGAGCCTTGGGTGGCGGGGCTGACTCCTCGCATCCTGTCCCAGTTGCTCTGGGCGCTCGTTGAGCTGCGCGCATCCGCGCCGCAGGAGCTCTTGCAGGCTGCGCTGCGGCAGGGCGCGCGGGGTATGGCGCGCGCAGGGGTGCGCGACTGCGCGCAACTCGTGTGGGCGGCGGCCCGGCTGAAGGTGGCGCCGAATGAGGCGTGGTGGGACGCCTTTTTCCAGCGCACCAGCAAGGTGAGCGCTGCTTGGGCGGGGTCGTGTGGCGCTGCGGTGGCTCTGTCAAGGGCGCAGCCTGTGGGCACTCAACCGATTGAGGTGGATTTCGAGTCTAGCCTGTGTCACTCCTTTGGTGCCACCGTTCACACGTCGTGCACTTCTGGGCTCACATGTGAGCCGGGGAATTTTTTAGCACGAGTGCTAGTCAGCTGATGCGCCTGCCGCGTTCCTCCTGAAATCGTCCGCAGCTGCTGCCAACAATGAGCCCTCAAGAGCTGGCTGTCATCGCCCAGGCGCTGGCGGCTTTGCGGGTGCAGCCAGCGGACGCCTACACACAGCGCCTGCTCGCAGCCGCCGGGCAGCTGCTCCCCAGCTTCACCCCGGACGGCCTGGGCATGCTGGCCTATTCGGTGGCCGTCCTGGGAGCCGACCCGCCGCCGGCATGGCGCGGCGCGCTGCTGTCTGTCGCATTCCGCGCTCTGATCGGCGGCGGGTGCAGCGCGCGCAACCTGGCATGCTTGGGGCTGCTGCTGGCGCGGTGGCGGGCCGATCCGGGGCCACAGTGGTGGGACGCGTACTTTGGAGCTTCCGCGGCGGTGATGCGGAGACGTGGCTATTGCGCACAGGTGTGTGGGTTGCGATTGGTGATGCAGGTGAACGCAGCAGAGGTGCGTGTTGTTTGCTAATTGCTCTACGTCTTGCAGCATAAAGTTGTTCAATGCACGTCTTGCCTTGCTTGATCTTTGCTTTCATTCTCCTCACAACGCATGCTGCTTGCCTGCTTGCCACCTGCCGCCGCAGAGCCTTGGTATAACCGCCCGCACCCTAGTCACGCTGGGGCTGACGCCGCCGCCTACTTGGCGGTGCTTGTTCCTGGAGGCAGCCCTGCAGCATCGCGTTGCTGGCAGCCGAAAGGGCGCGGTGGCGGCGGCGGCGGCGCTGGGCGCGTGGGCTGATGGCAGCAGCGGTGGTCATGGAGGCAGCAGCATGAGTGAAGGGATTTGCGTCGACCGAGGACTGAGAGAAGACAGATCCAGCAGCAGCAGCAGCGGCAGCGACAACAGTGGCAGTAGCAGTAGCAGTGGCAGGAGCAGTAGTAGGACTGCAGGCAACAGCAGGAGGGGCGCGTGGCAAGTCTTGAGTGGCACACCTCACAACGCCAGCATGAGTAGACCCAGCAGCAGCAGCAGCAGCAGCAGCAGCAGCAGCAGCAGAAGCAGCAGCAGCAGCAGCAGCAGCAGCAGCAGCAGCAGCAGCAGCAGCAGCAGCAGCAGCAGCAGCAGCAGCAGCACAGTACTGCAAGGCGAGCGTGGAAGCAGCACAGATGCATGTGGAACGCAGCACACCAGCGTGGTGCTCCTCAACATCAGCAGCAGCGGCCGCAGTGGTGGGGAACACTGTGGCAGCAGAGGCAGCGGCCACCAGAAACCCACCAGCAGCTCATTTGCAGGTGGCCTGACAGCTCTGTCGCCAGCGGCCTTGCCTGCAGCTGCCATGCGCGACCGGCTGGCGGCGCAGTGCGTGCAGGCACTCGTGCAGCACGCCCCTCAAATGAGTGCCGTCGAGTTTGCCGCCGCGCTGTGGGGCCTCGCCCGGTCGGGGGCGCCCGCGGCGGATGAGACAGCGCTGCAGGGTGTATGGCAGGTGGGCCGGGAGGGAGATCGAGGTATTCGTGCGTGGGACTGATGGACTCCTGCCACAGCATGCGCAACACCTCAATGTTTGCATTGGGCTGGCTAACGAAGGTCTGCCTTCGCATCCGACAACCCGGCGCCCCGCAGGCCGTCGCACTGAAAGCGTCGTACGCCCGGCCTCGCACACTGGCGTGCTTAGCATCTGCTGCCGCCCTCTGGGGCCCGCCGCCGCCGCCGCGGACAGCGGTAGGGGCCCTCCTTGCTGCGTTTGCACCGCTGGCGCGGGAGGCGAGCCCCGGCACGCTGGCTGAAATGGCGGAGGCGGCCGCCAAGCTCTGCGGGCGGCGGGCGCCGGCGCCGTTTGTGGACGCAGTTTTGGACGCGGCAGCGGTGCTCGCGGAGCAGCTCAGCGGCAGCGACACCAGTGATGGGCCTGGCAGCGTCGCAGGGAGCGTGCAGCGGATAGTGGCTGCGGCGCGCTCCGCGAGCTGGCCGCTGCCGGCGTCGCTGCGGCAACTTGTGGCTCGGGGCCAAGTGGGGCCGCTGCCAACATTCAACCCATCCAACCTGAGCACTCGTGACCTGCTTGCTGCGGGAGCGGCCGCGCTCATGAATGCTGCGGCAGCAGATTGCGAACCGTCGCATTTGATGGGCAGCGGCGGCCGTTACATCACGTGGTGGGAGGCATATGTGATGCGCTCTGCTCAGCTCCTGGCCGGCGGCCGCCTGACTGTGGCAGAAACTCTCTCGCTCAGCATGCAGGCAGCTGCAGCACAGCGGGCTCAGGGTGCTGCTGGCGCCACAGCAGCACCAGCGCATGCGTGGGTGCGGTGGCGGGAGGCCTATGGCAGTGCAGCGGTGGATTTGCTGGAGGCGCTTTGCGCGCTGCCAGCCGGCAGTGGGGCAGCTGACGATGGTGGAGCCCAACCAGAGCAGCAGCAGCCACAGCAGCAGCAGCAGCAGCTGCCGCCGCCGCCGCCGCCGCTGCAGCAGCACCAGCACCAGCAGCAGCAGCAGCAGCAGCAGCAGCGGCAGCAGCAGCGGCAGCAACAGCAGCATTGGCAGCAGCCAGAACCAGCCGGAGCAGGTGAGCAGCACACGCGTGCGCCCCATTGCAAAGCGGCGGCTGTTCGGCTGCTGTGCAGCCTGGCGGCACACAGCCTGCAGCCCCCAGAGGGGCGCCTGCTCACCTGCCTAAGCGCCCTCTGTGGTATCGGGGCCAGTAGTGGCAACAGTGGCAGCAGCAGCACCCAGCATTGTCATGGCACCGGCAGCAGCAGTAGCAGTGACAGCACCATCAGCGCCGAAGAGGCGCTGAACATCCTGTGTGCGTTGCCTACCCTGCGACCCGTCAGCAGCAGCAGCGGCGGCAGCGGCGCGGGTGCACCGCACACCTCGTGGTGGGCAGCACAGGGCTCGCCCCAGGAGGCGTGCGTGGAGCACCTCGCGGCCGCCCTGCTTCAGCAGCCGCTGCCGCCTCACGCCGCGCCGCTCCTGCGGCTTTTGGACTCGTTCGCTGCGCTTCAGTGGCGCCCTAGCTGCGCCGTGATGGTCCACTTTGACAGGGCGTGCGCTGCAGCACTGTTGACTGCGGAAGAGGCTACAGAGCTGCGCCGGCTGCGATGCCTCTTGTTCCCCAAAGCAGTCGCTGCTGCTCGTATGTGCTAATAGTCGTGTCGTGTTTGTTCCTGCCGCTGTGGTCTGATTGGTTGGTTGGTTGCTCGTGGGGCGTGCTTTTCATGTGTTGTGATGTATCCCCGCTTTTGAGAGTGTGCCGAGGCTGTACAGCTCAGACGTCAACTGTAACAAAGCTACCCGAGTATCCCAAATTCTCCTGGCAGGCGGAACAGGCCGCCGTTCCTGGAGGGGTTACCATGTGGGGCGGGTAATTTCCCCAACCTGCAAAGCAACAGGGATGGCACACATGATGAGCGATGCTGAAGCACTAGCACTTGCGCGTTTTGATGCACACAGCAAGTGCTGTGCGACGAGCCGAGGGCGGCCGGCAACCGGAAAAGCCCTTGGCTTGGCACAGACAGAGGGGCTGGTATGTGCCCGCGCCGTGCAGCCACTAGCCGTCGGTGCGGCTTGGCCATGCCGGGGCTTTCCAGGCTTATCACAAGCGCCAAGGACGCCTCTTGTAGGCGGGGCGTTAGGAGGTAAGTGCCGGCGGGACGGCGGCAGCGAGCGAGTGCGGCACACAAGACACAAGAAAGTCAGTCTGAGCGTGTGTGAAGGCCTCTGGGCGCTACCCAGGTTTCTGGCAGGTCTCGATGCCATCGACGTCCATGTCACGCATGAAGGCAATTTTTTCGTTGCCCCTGTGTGTCAGAGCATCGGGTGTGTTGCGTTCACAATGCAGTTCACGTAGGTGACAGAACTGGCTGGCCAGTAAGAGGTGGGCAGTCCATGAGATGAAGCATACGGATGGCATTAGGCACGAGTGAGGCTGCTGAAGAGCTTGTATTGAGGCGTCAGCGCGGCAATCCATGCATCTTGCTGGGCGCCGCGCCGACGGCCCATACTCGCACGCACCAATCAGCTGAGATGCTGCCAGCGATGCAAGCGCGCGCGACGCAATCCTAGGAGTCAAGGCCCGTCGCTCGCCATGGCTGGATCAGTTGTGGTCAACGTATTGTTTTGGGTGTAAGTGATCGTCACAAGCGCAAGGCAGCCCAGGCCTGATGCATGAAACCTGCACGGTCTGATGCTTGGCTGTCATGAGCACGGCAGCCCCTGCCCAAATGCGACAGTGTATGTACCTCACAGAACCAAAAAAACGTGCATGGCGCGCAGATGCACTTGTACCAAATTGGTTGACCTAAAGATTAAAAATGAAGAGTTCTTGGCCTTGAGCAAGCAACGCCTTGTTGGTGGACACTTGCAAAACCCATGTGCTCCTGGTCGTGTACTGCAGTGCAGAAATGCACACTGCACTACAGTAGGTGGCAGAGTCTGCCGCATGATCCACCCTGCGAAGCCATACAGTACGGGCTTACAGGCACGTGTTTGCTGCTGATATCAGCCAAAAAGCAAAATGTCAATGTTTTTTATACATCCAAGGTGCGGTGCTGTAGCCAAGCGTCGCGGCTGCGGTGTCTGGAATCACTGTCAGTTGCCGACGTGGCGACGGCCGATTGCACCCCCGTCAGCCCCACGAGGACTGCCATGGGCACCAGCGCGAGGCAACGAAATCAGCAGCTTGTTCTCAGACCTCAAGAAACTCAAATATCATCCGATTCTCGTTGTTTGAGCTGAGAAACACTGTACAGAGGCAAAACTCGTTTATGTGGTCAGCCCCTTTGGCGATCCCATAATCTTAACTTACAAGCGGTTATCGTGACACCGGTCTGCGTCGTGGCCGCCGCGCGGGAAATCTCTGTCTGGATCTGGGCTTCTAGCAGCGGGCCCGACAGGCACGCGAGAATGGCGCAGGACGATGGGGCGCGATTAGTTGCTTCTATGGAGGAAGTGCCAGTCATGAGCAGCTCCCGTGCGACGGCTGCTGCCGACGCCGCAACGGGCACAGTCAGCACGAGCGCGCCTAGCGCAGTCGGCGCCGAGGCGCCACCAACGGGCCCTGCACAGGACTTTTCCGACCGCATGGGGATGCTTTACCTGGATAGGCTGCTGGTGGGCAAACGCACTCGCATCGTCCATGTGGTGCGGCCAGACGAGGCCGGTGCCGCGGGTGGCGGCAGCACAGGTGCAGGCGCTGACCAGTCAGGTGCAAGCACCACTGCGGCGACGACGCAGCAGCAAGAGCAGCGGCAGCAGCAACAAGAGCAGCAGCAGCAGCAGCAGCAGCAGCAGCAGCAGCAGCAGCAGCAGCAGCAGCAGCAGCAGCAGCATCAGCAGCAGCAGCAGCAGCAGCAGCAGCAGGCACATGTGGCGCCGCCCCCACTCCAGGTGCCGCCCCCGCAGCAGCGCCAGCGGTGGCCACACCACCAGCAGCAGCCGCGCCCGCCGCAGCCGCCGCGGGCGGCGCGTGCCACCAAACTGGACGTCAGAACGCCGGCGCCGCACCCGTTCCGCCTGGCGGCGCGTCACGTGAAGACCAACTACAAGTGCCCCACGCCCGACGGCTGGCGGCTGCATCTTGTGCGGACGCAGCGGCTGCAGGACGCGCGCAACCCCACGGGGCGCACCCGCAACCACCCGGTGAGCTGGGCCCGACCTGCTGCGCAGCCGGAGGGGGGGGGGGGCGGGGGCCTGCCCCTTGACCCTCCCTTTGGACCTCCCTCCACAAACTTCACCCACAGAAAACCCCTTCGACAAAACCCCCCTGCACCCGCAAAACCCCCATCCCCTGGCCGGCAGGTGATCCTTTGCCCAGGGCTGGCCAGCAGCGGCGCGTATTGCTTTGACCTGAGCCCCGCGGTGTCGCTGGCGGACTACCTGGCGGAGAAGGGCTGGGACGTGTGGACGGTCGAGCTCAGGGGTGAGAGAAAACGCAGACGCACACACGCAGGGGTGCAAACACATGCTTCCTTTTGCACGCGTCGTGCAGCCTTGAGCCTTGAGTGCAGGCGTCGTGCCTCGGCTGATGTGGGTTGTCCAAGGAGCGTTTGTTTGACTCAGCAAAGCCGGCGCAGCGGACGAAACTGGCGGCATGCATCTAATGCACGCAAGCTTCGTCGCTGGCGTCGCCAAATCCGCAGGCAACGGTCAGAGCGACAAGCCGTCGGTGATGGCGGGGCGCAGCAGGTGGTGGACCATCGACACCCACGTGGAGAAGGTGCGGCAGAGGAGGAGTAACGGGGTCGCGTGGATGGGACTGGAGGCAGAGCGGTGTGGAGGCTTGAACCAATGGTCTGCAGAGCCAAGGGGCAGCGACATGCCTCTTGAGCTGTGCTGTGTGGAGCACCGCACAGCAGGGCGCGTCCATTCGTGAGCTCAAGTGTCGCGCTCTGCAACAAGCGGGTTGCGGCTGTGTCCCTCACGTGGGGTGTGTACACACCCAGCGAGCTTGTTGGGTCTGCTGCTTTCTATATCTTGGCAGCACAGCCGCGCCCCCCCCCCCCCCCCCCCCCCCCCCCCCCC